AAGGAGAGAGGAATAGAAAAATACAAAACTCTTGAAAAATAATAGCCTACCCAGGTACAAGTGACTTGTAGAACACCAACAGAACATATCAGAAAAGAACATATCACAATAGATTATAGTTATAGTATTAAGCACAGACAATAAAGCATAATTAATGCTGTATGTGAGAGAAGATTGGTCAATTACATCTATCAAAATAACAGATTTCTCAACAGAAACTATAACAAGAAGGAGGGCTTCCATTTATGAGATATTTCAAACAGAAAGATAACAATTTCCAACAGAATATTCTATTTATTTCAATCATAACTAAAAGGCCAATAATAATGGTAAACATATATGTACATGTTTACAGGGTCATACATATCTATACACAGGCATATTAATTAAGGTATGGTATATCCAAGGGAAGATTCCATGGTATGATCTCTGTGGACAGGTGAATTACAGTTTAATAAAATTAATATTAGGAAGTGGGAGCATATTATGTCAGGTGGGAGAGGAGAGATTCAGGTGGGGTTAAAGAAAAATGGAGAGGAGAATGATGAGGGAAAGGTAGTGGTAACACTCAATGTACATACATGATAATGTAACAAGGTAAATTGAAGGGATGGGTGGATTTAGAAGAGATGGGTGAGAACAATGAAAGGGGTAACATTGGTCAAGATGGACTGTGCTCACAAACTGAGCTGCTGAGTTGAAACCTCTATGTACAATTACTGGAAGGTATAAAAATGTAAACATCTGGCTGCTAAACTATATTTAAGGGTATATTCACACAAAAACTATATAAACATCTTCTAATGGCTGTGTCATATTGCACTCACACCAGTAATAAAGGCAAGTTCCTGTTCCTCTCTGTTGTTGCTAGCATTTCCATCTTTTACATATGGACTATTTTGACATGGTACTCTCTACCTCTGAATCCTCTTTGGTGAAGTGTGTGTTCAAGTCTTTCATTCAGTTTGTAGTCCAGTTGTTCTTTTCCTCATTGTTGAGCTAAAAGAACTTTTTGTATATGTTTTTGTTTTAGTCCTTTATCAGATTTGTCTTTTGTAAATATTTATGATCAAGTCTATACCCAGACATACTTACCATGTTAGAAACCAGATCTGAGCTAAGAAATGCTAAATTTACGTACTGTTTAGGAACCAGAGCTTATGAGGTTGGAGCACAGTTGGAGTATTAGCAACCTTGCTAATTTCAAATAATTATCTAGTACTGGCCATTAGCTCTAGATTTGTGTTGGTAATTTTTTGTAAAGTTGATTACATTCTACTCTATAACTTGCTCAAAGTTTTTTTTTGTCATTTATGATTGTTGCTTCTTGACATGTTATTTTTCTGTTTCTGCATTTATTGATGTTATCATTTGATGTTTCCTATGTACTGATATAATTCATGAGCTGCTCTTTTGAAATCTGAGATGAACAAAACTTGGTTGTTATGTGTATTTCTTTTAATTTTTTTTTTGATAATATTTATTATTAACTAGCTCCACAAAGCAGTTTCAACTTCATAAGTCAAATTATAAGTACAATGTTTGGTCAATGTTGCTGCTTCCATTATTCGTCCCTTCATTTTTCCCTCTCCAATTCCTAACCTCAATTCTCATGATTCAATTTTTACATAATGTATATGGAATATAATGAGTGTATTTTTTGCTTTTCGTCTCTCCATCCTATTTGCTGATATTTTTTGAGAATATTTTCACTTTGAGAGATACTCATCTATAGTTTGCATTTTGTATGATATATTTGCCTGATTTTAAATTTAGCATTTGGGTTTTTGGCATTGAGTATTGTGTCTTTTGGGGTAATGATGCAAACATTTTACCAGGTATGGTTCACACATTATTTTAACTGTTTATAATAAGTCTACTGGACATTCAGCATTATTGTCATTTCCTTTGTACAGTGAAGGAAATGGTAAGTTACATTACTTTTCCAGAAAGCAAATCCCAACTCCAATTTGACCCATCATTACGTATTTTTACATATGTTTAATTGTGAAAATACCGTACAGACCATCTCCTCCTCCCTTCCCCCACTCCCTGCCAAAGTTTTAAAGTTACAGAAACTCTAAGGAATACAGATTTTATGCCTAAGAGTTGTTTCTGAACATTCAGGACATGTGATCCAATGTTCTGATCAGAAGCATCAGTAAAGGTATTTGATAGCCACAGGGGTTGTAAGGTTTGCATTTTCAGAGATAAGCTGCATCTTTTCAGAGATGCATACATTAATCCTAAGTAATAATCTAGAAAGACACATGGAAAAAGGAAAACTAATTTAAAATGAAAGAAATGAAAAGAAATACAGGTTTGTTCAATGTTTTAAAAAAAATCTCCATGCTTACTAAACATAGCATAAAATTGCCTTGTAATACATGCATATATATTACTGAAAATCAAACTTAAGTGAAATTATCTTGCCAGTTGTAGTTAGAATAATCCAATAATCTCAACAAGTTGAGAATTTTTTCCCTAGGAATTGCTTGAGAAAGTCAATATGGACAGTCACTGTCTTTGAAGCTGACTGTGCCAAATTCTTTCATCAACTATGCCAAGAGATGAGATACTGTGTTCCCCACACAGTCCCTGCCATGATGCACTGCCCTGCCACAGGCCCAAAGCTTAACCATGAATTTCAGCTCCAAAACTTGAGCCAAATCACTCCTGGGTTCATAACAGAAGGAATGTAAGTCAGCATACAATCAAGACACCTGTACATTTAATTATATAGCATCACTATTCACAATGGCCAAACCTGGGGATCATCCAAGTGCCCATTATCCAATGAACAAATAAAGAACATGCCACGTGAACATGTAATAGGGTGATATTAAGAAATAAAGAGGAGTGGAATTATGTGCAGGAAAATGAATGAACTAGACATTATCATGTTAAGCAAAATAAGCCACAGTGAGGGTAGATGTGACATGTTCCCTCTTAGGTACAGGACCTAGAGCTTAAAAAATAAAAGCCAGGGACCAATGGGAAGGGGGAAGGCAAAATGAGAGGATAAAACTGGGATGAGGGGGGAAGATGGGATGGGAAGGGGAAACAAAGGAGGAGACTACAATGCTTGATAAGAAATGTACTCATTATTTTGCCCATGTAATTGTAACCCCTCTGTACAGTATTTTCACAATAAAAAAGTGGGATGAATATGATTAAAGTACTTTATATATTTGTGAAAATAGAACAATGAAAACTGTGAAATTGTCCAAAAAGGAAGAGTAGTGTGGGGGTGAATTCAATCAAAAGTAGGCACATATGGAAATAATCACAATGAAATTCCTTTGAACAGTTGATATATGATTATCAAAACATATATGTACCCATTTTATTTACAAAGGCATTAGTTTTAACGTTTTCAATTTTTTGATTCAATATGTTATGATACTAAAAATTTTCTCAAAGTCAAAGAACATTGGAATGATATGTGAAACTAAGCTGTGTGTGTGTGTGTGTGTGTTAGAGCAAAGATAATTTTTGCTTTTAAAATTTTAAGCCATATTGTTTTTTGGTTAAAAGCCAAAACCCAATGGCAACATTGCCTTTGCTCAACAGCAAAATAAATTAATCATTTACTAACTGGTTCCATGGGGATTAGAAAAGCATCTGAAATGAAAGACCTGGAATTTTAATCCACATGATTTTTTAAATATATTTTTATTTTTTGGTCAATCGTGGAGCTTGAACTCTAGGCCTGTGTGCTGTCCCTCAGCTCTTCAGCTCAAGGCGAGTGTTCTACCTCTTGAGCCACAGTGCCACTTTCAGTTTTGTAACGGTTTATTGAAGATAAGAGTCTCATGGACTTTCCTGCCTGGGCTGGCAGGATCCTCAGATCTCAACCTCCTGAGTAGCTAGGATTACAGGCGTGAGCCACTGGGGCCAGGCATGATCTTTTTTTTAAGACTTGGCTATGAACTCATGGCAACACATACTCATTAAGCAGGCACTCTACCACTTAAATCACTCCTCCAGGCATTTTTTGGTGTGTTACTCATTTTTCAGAGAGGGCCTTACTTTATGCCTGGTCTGGCCTGGACATTTTCCTATTTGTGTTTCCCTTTGTTCCTGGGATGACAGACTTGTGCCACTGTGTCCAGTCATTTGCATGCCATCCTGCTCAGATACTGAGATAAAGCTTCTTGAACTTTTATGGGTAGGCTTTGAACCATGTTTCCCCAATCTTTGCCCTCAATTAGCTAACATTACAGATCTGAGACATTATGCCTAGTTCACATGATGTTTTTAACTCATTATTTCCTGTCTCTACTATTTACAAAGCTGTTTTTAAAAACTGAACAAGAATTTAATTTTCCTGATATCTCTTACAATGTGAAGTTGAGAGGGACTGAAGTCTTAGAAAGTGCTGAATGTTGACTTCAGAGGATCTTGTGTGCTACTACTATGGGCCCATTTGGGGTTTCTGCTGCTCCTCGTAATCCAAACAAATTATGGGTAGAGATTTTGCTTTCCTAATGTGTCTAGCAGTGAAAGCATTGTGCAATTTCCCCTTTCTGAAAATTCCTTTTGGAACACTGTCATATTTAATTATTTAGAATATAAACCTCCATCAGTATCAAAACTTAAATAAGGATGAAGTAGGGGAGAGGAGACTGTCAGTGGGCTCTGTTAGGCTTTGGGCAAGACTGAAAGTTCTAAAGGCTGCTCCTGTCCCCAAAAGCACTTGCAGGAATAAGAATTGCAATGTCATAAACAATGTTTATGACAAAGATGTATAAATAAGACTGGAAGAGTGTTCCAACTAAAAGAGTCATATATATATATATATATATATATATATATATATAACTGTTCTGGTGGTTATCATGAGTGATGTTCAAAATACAAGGAGAAACAAGTATATTATGTGTAAACAGGCATTTGGAAAATATTTTTAAAAATTTTTTTCTCGTGAAAATACCGTACAGAGGGGTTACAATTACATGGGCAAGGTAATGAGTACATTTCCTATAAAATTTTTTTTATTTTTTTTTAGAATAACAAAAAATATTTTACTAAAACATAAGATTTACAGAAGTTTCCAGACAAGCCATACAAAATGGTCACAAGCTTTTTCTGAAGGGAGAAAATCTACACTTGACAGCAAAGTCACAATGACATTAGTGAGGGCTGTGATGTTTGTTTAATATTCCCATGTTGGGTTCAAATAATCGAGCTTGTCCATCTATGGTGTCTAAAGTTAGACTTGGCTAGAGAGTGTACTCTAAAGAACTGGTTAGCTGCTTTTAACCAATACAATTAGATTCCCATAAAGGGGGGGAAAGGATTCCATAAAATTAAAACTACTTTCCCCCTAAAAAAAAAAGAAAGAAAGAAAGAAAAACACCCAAACCCCTGCAGCTAACCCTGAAAACTACCTTCATTCACAGTGCTTTATACTTAAACCATGATGAGGGAAATGAATAAAAGCAGAGAACCACTGCTTTTATACGTTTCACAACAATCCAGATGATACTTCTAGCCTCTGCTCATGCTTTACAACAGTGAATCAGGACAAGACATAAATTTGCTAATGTGCATGTGCATTTAATCACCAAAGTACTGAAGATGTCTGGCTTTTATTCTGTAATGGTTCTAAGACTGTGTCCATTAAATGCAAACAAAAAAGGAAGAAGTCTTGGCAGAACAGGAGAAGTGATGCACATTTGATGATCGGATCGACTTAAATATTATTCATGGCATATAGCCTAGTCCATGCTCTAGCTGTGTCTATGGCTTGGGTTTCGTTGGTCTTCCACTGCTCCACTACATCATTTGCTAATGGATCATCTGGATTAGGAGCACTTAACCAAGCCTGGATGGATAGCAGAACTGTGCGGATCTGCAGTGCTGGGGACCACTTACCTTTCAAAATATCTAAACATATTCTTCCCAACTTGTCTACATTAGGATGATAAATTTTGGTCATGAAATGTACTTTACGTGCTGCCATTGGGTATTCTTCTGGAAGGAATAGTTCAAGTTTAAAAGTCCCTCCCTCAAAGGGGGAATCCTGAGGGCCAGCAATAACCACATGAAAATAACGGGCGTTGCTCTCATCTGGTTCTGCTTTAATGCCAGGAACTGGTTCTGCCAGCAAGCGCTGGGTTTCCTTAATGATCCTGCGAGGCAGCCCAGCCATCTTGTCAAATCCCAAATTGGGCCTCAGCTCTGTCTCCAGCTCTGCTGGCCTCATGCACCCCTATCAAATTTCTTACCAAGCATTGTTGCCTCCTCCTTTGTTTCCCCTTCCCATCCCTTCCCATTCCCACCCCACCCCCAAGGTTGTAAAGTTCATTTTTCTTTTGAAAATACCCTATAGAGGAGTTATTATTACATGGGCAAGGTAATGCACCCAGTGCCCACCCTTTGGGTGGCCCCGGGTCTGGGCAGTGTCACCCCTCACACCACAGCCTGCACAGCACCCTCCCGGCAGATGTGACTGGAACTGGAGGAGTGAGACACTGTTCTTCAAGTCTTTTGGAAATATTATATTTAGTGAAGTAAGCCAGACTCAAAGAAACCTAGACTGCATGTTTTCCCTCATTTGTAATAACTAGGATGTGCCTATAAATCTACAAGTAAACCCAATGGACAGTAAAAGACAAATAATTACACTTGGACATGATTAATTAAATAGCACTCTAAAGATTCACACAGTGAGAACAAAGGAGGATATTCTTAGGATAGGATCACAAGGGCTCAATGGCTATGTGCATAAGATCATATAATATGATGCTTATTGCAAAGGAACTCCAAGAAATGAAAACAAGAGGTTTTTTTTAAATTGTACTGTTTGCTGTTCTTTTTTTTTCTTTCCTTTTTCTTTGGTTTATTCCCTTTTATTGCTGTTTTTAATTTCTGTACCCTTTGTTTGTATATAAGTTTATGTGATTTGGGGAGGAGAAGGGGAATCCCAGAAACTGTGGTACAAAGGTAAACCAATTCAGCACTGATACTCACTGTGTTGGAAATGAACTTTACAACTTGGTGGGGAGGGAAGTCACAAGGGGAAAACCTGGGAGAGAATAAGGGAGGGGTGACACTGTTCAAAAATAACTGTGTTCATTACCTGACTCATGTAACTGTAACCCTTCTGTACATTACTTTTACAATAATTTTTAAGTAAAATAAAAAAATAAAAATGAAGACACTAAGAAAATTTAGATTGTCTAGAACTAATAGAAGTATTTCTTAATTCTCACAAATAAAAGGATGATACAAAAAGAACGTCTTTATCTGACAGTGAATCTAGTGATAGCAAAGCAAAGAAGGAAAGAGATAAGGCTGGTAACCAATGGGCTTTGCCAAGTGTCTTCCAGATGAATAACTGGTGCCACAGACAGCAGTGCAGAATCTTTTTCCTGAAATGGCAAGACTCAGATGACAGTGACAGCACTGGCCAAAGAGGTGAATCGGAAGTGTCCTCAGATGATAACAAAAGATTATATATGAAGAAAGATTAACATGGCATTCTTGTCCGGAAGATGAAACTCAATTCTTGTTTACATTGCTTTCATAAGTATTTATATATTGTATATAAATATTATATGCTATTATAAAGGTGATATATATAGAAGGGTTATAATTGCGTAAGTCAGATAAAGATTACAGTTCTTTGTAAACAATGTCACCTCTTCCCTCATTGTCTCCGAGTCAGTCTTGGTTTTTTGGTTTTGTTTATTTTTCTAAACAGTCTGGATGTTTTTCGTTGGAGAAGGGCATAAGAAAATCAAAAGCAAGTAGGAGCATGGCTCAAGTGATAAAGTGACAGTCCTTAGTAGAAAAGCCAACCAAGAGCCTAAAACACCAAATCTAAGTCTTGGTACTGGCAAAAAATAAATAAATACATAGATAGACAAATATTGGAAGGCTGGGTATACTCATTGCTACAAGGCAATGGTCTCAAGGTTTGCAATAGACAGAGCCAGGAATGTATATGTGCACTAACTCCTTTAAACTCTTATTTGTAGCATCATCAAGCTGTGTCCATTAATTATTTGTGTGAAACATGAGTTCAAGAGGGGCTTTCTGAATATTCCACCACTAGGTTTTATTTTAGCTTTCCCTTCTTGCTTTTCTGTAACTTCCACCTCTCACCATGATAAACCAGGCTCCTACCATACGCTTTTCACCACCCTTTCAATCCCACTATTCATGTAAAATGAGAGTGCGCCTTGTATTGTATTCTATTTGTTAAGATGCATCTCACTGTCCAGATGTCTATTCTTTGGTGACTGTTCCATGTGTGGTTGTGCATTCTGCTGCTGTTGGGTGTTCCATAAATGTCAATTTTGTTGATCGTGCTCAATAGCACTCTCTCAGAGCTCACCTCATCACTATCCTTAATGATGTTCTGCTTATAGACCTCATTCATCACTCACAGAGGACTGCTGAAGCCTTTATTTGTAGTAGTAGGCATGTCTAATTATTCTTTATAATCTATCAATTCTTGCCTGACATATTTTGAGGTCTATGACAGATGATTTCCTTATAAGGATTGTTGCATCTTATTGGAGCTTTAACTCCTCTATGCTCATGCAACAGTGATTTTTATACCTTAGGAATAAAAGCAGCTTTGTCTGAAATCAATATGTGATTTTACTGTTGTTGTGTCTAGTGTTAGCAAGTGTATTTCTTTCTCTGCATTTTACTTTCAATCTGTGTTATTGTGTTAAATATTTTCTTATAGACTGCAAGTAAATGACTCTTCACATTTTTAATCCAGTTCTATGATCTCTTTTTATTTGACATTCACATTTAAAGTCATTGTTGATATAGCTGGAGTAAAATCTACTATTTGGTTAAACATATATATGTGTGTGTATATATATATATATTCATATATACATGTATATGTAGATAGATATACTTGTCTTGTGTTTTTATAGCTTTTTCCCTTTTCTTCTGCTTTCTTTGGTCTTAAGTACCTTATTTCCATCTTAACACATCTTTTTACTTCTTATTTGAAGAAGGCAGAGACCAGAAGTATCACAGTTTGAAGCTAGCTTGGGCAAAAAGTTAACAAGATCCCATATCAGCAAGCCTGATATGGTGGTACATGCCTGTAATACCAGCTATGTGGAAGACTGAGGTAGAAGGATTGTAATTTTGAGGCCAGCCTCAGGAAACACACACACACACACACACACACACACACACACACACACACACACACCTCGGGAAACACACACACACACACACACCTCGGGAAACACACACATACACACACACCTCGGGAAACACACACACACACACACACCTCGGGAAACACACACACACACACACACACACACACACACACACACACACACACCCCTAAAGCCTGTGTGGTTCTGGTTTAACAAGTACATGACCCTGAGTTAAAACCCAAGTATCTTCCCCTAAATTTTCTTTTTTGGGTCATTGCCCTAGATGTTTGCAGCTACTTCATGTGTTAACTTTTCATTGCTATTACAAATGTCTGGGAGAACTTTCAAGAGGAAGGATTCTATTGACCCCATCGTTTCAGAATGTTTTATCCACAGTAGCATGGCTCCATGGTTCTGGCCACAGTGGCGTGGCTCAGTAGTTCTGTCCACAGCCATGTGGCTCCATGACTCTGAGCCTGTGGTGAGGAAGAATATCATGGTAATGAGAGAGCATGGCAGAGACTGCTTACCTCCTGGTAGATAGGAAGCAAAGAAAGATAGAAAGGGGTCAGCGTAAGACATGTCCTTCAAAGGCACACACCCAGTGCACCATTTGTTCTAGCGAAACTCACCTTCCAGAGCTTATACTATCTTCTGGGGCTCCTGTCAACCTCCCAGAGCTCCCAACACCTCCCAAAGCTTCTACCACTTCCCAGAGCCTGTGCAGTCCCCCAGAGCTCCCACCATCACCCAGAGTTCCCATCATCCCTCAGACAACTCACACCACCTCCCACAGCTCCCAACACCTCTCAGAGCCTCCTAGGTATTTAACAAAGGATTCTGTGGGGGGCACTTCACATCCAAATCAAACGACTAGATTTTTTTCCACTCTCCCCACCATCCACAGCTACAGGCACCACAGAATTGCCACCATGACTGCTGGAAATGATCATTATCTGTAGACCAATTAATAGCAATAAGAATAATATAATTCATGTTACCTTATTTTTCTTCTTTTCAGATGTTCTCCTTTTGTTTACATAATCGAGGATTTAATCTTGGACTTCCTTTTTGTTTAAAAAAGTTATTTATTTTTTATAATGTTACGAGTTCGCTATAATTCTAGCTTTTCTGTAGTCTATGTGTTCACCCTCAATAACTTCTGTATTTTTAAATTTTGTCTCTGATTTCTATGAAATATATATATATATATTAATTGGATCGATGGTTGATAGAGACAGGCAGATAGATGTAGTAGGGAGGGGATTGTCTGGTCTGGTATTCCCTGAGCTTCCAAGATGGGTGGCTTGTCGTCTTATTTTTTCATTTTGATAGGTTCCGTCATTATTTTCTCTGTACTTTTTATGCTATCCTCCCTTGTAGCTCCTTTTGGCATCTGGTTTTATTCATGAATGTTCCACCTTCTTATCTGTCTCAGTTCTTGGATATTTTGTTCTTCCCTGTTCTAGTCCCTTCCCTCTGTCCAGATAATTTTCTCCTTGAATTTCAGTTTTGTCAGTTTCAATTACCTCTCTTTAGACTCACTGAATTTTTTTGTTTTGTTATTATTATAAAATAAACATAACATAAACCTTACCATTGTAACTAATTTTAAATGTACACCTCATGGCTTTGAGTGCAATGTCCTCAAACCATTACCAAAATATGCTAGAATTCTTCTCTTTTTGTGGGCTTGAATGTGGGACTGCACTCTTGTTTAGCTTTTTTTACTCAAGACTGATGCTATTCGGCTTGAACAGCATCTCTGCCTCTGGCTTTTTGCTGGTTAATTGAAAATAGTCTCTTGGATTTGTCTGCCTGGACTGTCTTCAAACCTTGACCCTCAGATCTTAGCCTCCTGAGCAGCTATTTTTGCAGTGCATCAGTATCTGGCTTTCAGAATTTTTCATCTCCTCAAATGAGCCCATTAAAAATAACCTATCAGCCCTAATAATCTCCGTCCTACATTTTGTCTCCACATACTTGTCTATTCTAGATACATAAGTGTTTTATGTGTTTGGACCATTTCACTTAATATTATATTTTCAAGGTTCATCTATGCTGTAGCTTAGGCCAGAACCTCATCCCACTTTAAGGCTGAATAGTATTCCATTGTGTGTTTGCTGTTGTTTGTTCACTTTTTGTTATGAGACTGAGTCTCATGGAGCCCAAATTGACACCAACCTGTCCAGCCCAAGGCAGCTGGACCTCATAGAGCAGGGGAGGGGAGGTCCATGCTTAGGGTTCTACAGCTGTTTGGGTCTTAGATTTTGAAGCAGAGCAGGGAGGCTCTTCTTGAGCCTGGGAGAAGCAGGAGCTGGAACCATACCCGTACAAAACTGGCAGGGAACCAGCCCTTGCCTTCCGCCACACGGCCCCACTACCATTCTCTGTTGGTGGCATCCATCACTTCGATGATGTCCCCGGCTTTGAAGCCCAGCTCCTGGTCATCCATGGTGACATGGTCCCAGAGTGCCTCGGCGCACACCACACTGCCATCACTGATGAGCTGCGGATAGAAGCACAGCAGGCCAGTCAGTGGGACCACGGCTGCACGGGGCCCTAGGCAGAGGCTGTCCCTACACTCTGTGCCCACTCACAGCAGCCCTGGGAAGAGGGGAGCCTGACTTGCTTTTCAGAGGGGCTGACTGGGGTTTCCTCCAGGCCAGCAGCTCTTCTGGGGCAGCGCGGTGCAGATAGATAGGGCAGAGTCCTGGCTGTCAGGGGTCAAGGACAGGCCAAAAGAGAACTTGAGAACACATGGTTCCCTCTCTTCCCAGTGACATCTTCACCCCACTGAGCCTTTTACTTTCCTTCTAACATGCCAGGCATGTGCTGCTGGCAGACCCTTCTAAGCACTGTTTAAGGGGGAAAGTAGGCTGCAGGAGGGAGAGGGCCTTATTCCTTCCATGGGCTTCCCTGTGGATATGCTGTGCCTATGAGAACAATCCACAGCCTCTGGTGTCATTCTGCCTGGGTACAGTGTGCTCTGCCCATGCTGTGGCTGGGTCAGGTTGTTGTACTCTTGAATCGCTGTAGAACAGGCCTCATGATTCCTCTGGCTCCGAGAGCAGACCCCCATGAGAGCTGAGGAGCCCCCTCCTCAGATGCCTAAGTTCCAAGACACAGAAATGAGTTTAAATTTACTCAGCTTCTTCGCTTTATTTCCTGTCTGGAGAAGCGTACTAACTCAGCAATAGGCACCTCTGCATTGTCCTTGTGCACTGTTGCTGAGCCAGGCACATTCCACCTAGCTGACGATTCTCTGTAGTGTTCCCTCTGCTGAGCTTCCTTTCTCCTGAGTGGTATGGACCGACGCACTGTAAGAATTGCTCCCTGCCCCTTGGAGTTGTTTTCCATTGGCTGCCACCTGCTTCCCTGTACCAGGGCTCTGTTTCTGCTCTATGAACCAAGGGTGGCTCCAAGGCCTTAAAGCAGGAGAGGAGGGTGGGCTGGGGGTGGAACATACTATCCTGATAGGACTAAGTGCTAGAGCTGCTCATCACAGCTGCAGGCCTGGCTAAAGTATCATGGAAGAACACACATCTTCAAATAGGCCCTCTGCACCCACTTCTGCTCTGAGCTGTCCCCCTCCCTTGTGCACCTCCCTTGGTCCCTGTGGACACTGCCAGCACAGTGTGCATGCTGATCCTCACACCTACATGGCTACCAGGCACACCTAGCAGCCAGGCCTGCCCTGTGGCCCCAACTCAGTTCCAGTCACTGTCTAAGAGGTCTGTCTGTGCCACATGATCAGAGACGGATGGGCAGTACAGGAGCACAGAAGCCTGCTCAGGATGGGAGCTTACCTTTCTTTTGGGAGAGCAATGAGCAGGCAAGACCTTGATCACTGCCCAACCACTGGGTTTTTACTATTTCCTGAGGCTGAGACACCCGCTCCAAACCTGATGACCCTGGGGGCATCCACACCCCAGATGCCCTCTCATGGTGCAGTGGCTGTCACCCAGCACACAGCAGAGGGTTATTCTTGGGGACAGCAGGCCTCCCACCTGGCACACATTCCTGCTACAGTTATGAGCTTGCAGGTGAGCCGGATGACACAGAGACGGGAGGAGGCAAGAGAATCCATGAAGGCCTTGTGAAAAATCAGCCTGCTTTGGGTGCAGAGCTGACCCACCTCCCACAGACATGCTTGAAGGAGATGGCTCAGGAACAGAAGTAGTGGTACCCCCTAGTAGTGGGTGAGCGGGAGCTCGTGTAAACCCGGGGTCTGTCATCACAGTCCACAGCTCTGGGGGACTGTACCTCACTCAGCAAAGCCCAGCTTCCCAATGTGCTAGTCCCTGAAGGTTCTTGTGTTGTATTAGCTGGCGAAGTGTCTCCCCATGTCCCTAGGTTCACTCAGTTGAACCAGGTACAACAACAACAACAACAACAAAAAACAAACAGCTGGGTGCCAGTAGCTCACACCTATAATCCTACTCAGGAGCTGAGATCTGAGGATCATGGTTTGTAGCCAGCCTGGGCAGGAAAGTCTGTGAGACTCTTATCTCTAATAAACTACTTCGTAAAGGCCAGGAGTGGTGTTGTGGCTCAAGTGGTAAAGCACTAGCCTTGTACATAACTAGGTTCTCTGACAGCGCCCAGGCCTTGAGTGTAAGTCCCAGGACCAGCAACAAACAAACAACAACCCTCCTACCCATGGCTTGGTGCCCACCCCTTTTCTTCCATTCTTCAGTCCTGCAGGGAGAAATGGATCCTACATGGGTGCTTTCCCCAGCAGCTGTGGGGAAGCTGTGGAAGGTACGGGAACAAAAAGGCAAGACTTCACGAAGACCAGGGTTCTGGGCACTATTAGAAACGAGTCTCTGGCCTATCCTACCAGGTATCCGGAAGCCTGAGATGGCGGAGGAGGGGTTAGTCAGTCATCTTGGTTGTTTCCAGAAAGGTGCACAACACAGGAGCTCCAGGATAACACATAGCCTTGAAGGAGTTTCCGGATCCACCCGTTCCCCGAGTAGCTACTGTCTTCTCTGTATGGGCAGACCCACGCAGGAGGCCCTCTGCGGAGTGGGCGCCTGACATCAACCCTGCCTGTGATGTTGTCGCCAAGACAATGCGTCTGGGAGACAGCAGGGAGGGATACATTTCCCCTGAGCGCAGGGGAGGCGATCCATCCGCATGGGAGCCCCGCTCGCTCGCTTGCTCGCACCTGTCAGGCGCAGCTGGCTCTGGAGTGCTGATGGCTACTACTCGTTTTAGGGCCAAAAATGGGAAACGCAACTGCAGCTGCTGTGTGTGGACCCAGGCGTCTCACACAGCCCTGTACGAGCTCCTTTCCCCTCATCCTGCGGTCACATGCGCGCCGTCCCCGGATCGCCCCGGTGCCTGCGTCCCCAGTGACACGGAGAAGCGCCATGTTGCCCTTCCCTCTCCAGCACGGACCACAGATGGAAAGACCCGCACGTGGGCTACCACGCCCCTCAGGCCCCGGCAGGATGGCGCCCCTGGGTGCGGCGCGCAGACCAGGAGCTGGCGGCCGGGGGCCCAGCGGGAGCCGCTCAGCCCTGCGCGGCGCGGCGCGGCGCTGACCACTCACCCTGACGCGGCGCGGCCTCCGGTTCGCTCAGCGGAAGGCCAGCAGGAAGATCAGCACGACGTTGACGAGGACCAGGAGCACCAGCACCGCGGAGACCACCACTCGCTGCGCGCCCGGGGGCAGGTTACAGCGCAGCAGGGCGCGCAGGGCGCTTCCAGGCATGGCGGGGCCACGTCGGGGCTGGGGGCCCTTGGCCATGACGCCCGGCTCCCCGGGGCTCCGAGAGGCCCGGAATCCCGCGGCGCTGCAGGGCCGGCGCCGGCAGCCCGCAGCGCCCGGGAAGGGGCGGAGCCGTCCGCGCTCCGCTCGCAGACCGGGCTCCTCCCGCGCAGCCCGCCCGCGCGCGCGTGGCATCTCCAGGCCCGGATCCCGGGGACGTGCGGAGAGGAGAGCGCGGGGAGGGAATGATGGGGCCGGAGGAGGGCAGAGCGCACGTCGGGCCGGGGCCGGGTAAGGAGGAGCCCAGGGGTCTCAGCGGTCCTTGTACTGCTCTCTGCCCCCTCCTGGGGAGGGCTGCCGGACTAGCAGATGGGCCTTGTGGGGGCAGAACGCCCAGCATCTTTGCATCATCGCTCTGGGGCGGGGTGGGCTAGGAATTCTGATCCCTAAAAGCTGCCCACAGGCCCCCCGCCCCGCCTCCAAGGTCAGTGTGACTCTGAAACAGGCAATTTGCGCAGTCACATGGTCACTCAGAAATGCAGGTAGAGCAGAGCCAGGATTTGAACCCTGGAGGGACTTGATTCCTGCGGAAGGGCTCCACATCACTACTGCCGGAGGAACATTTTGTTTACTTGGACAAGTAGTTAGTGTCTTCAGCTAGTGTCTGTAAAACGAACCAGCTACACTAAGTACTCAAGTTCCTCTAACTCCCTGGAGTCCCTGACTTTAACTGTCCAAAATCACAGCTCACAAGCAGAAGGCCTCATCCTGTCCACAGCAGAGTGCTCGTTTGTAACTTCACATCTGAGACCAGGAAGGTAGCTGGTGGGGCTGAGGGCTGGATGGTCACGGCTCACCCTTGGTGGCTGAACTGCACGCACAGGCATCCCTGTGAGTATGTGCATGAGTGTGTGCCGGGGCCACATCTACCTTACAGATGGGATCATCTATGGAAGACCTTAGGGCAGTGTTTGCCAGGTGTGTGTGTACATGCAGAGGCATGTGTGCCCATGTGTGAAGGGGCTAGGTTTATGTGCATGTGTGTATATATGGGTGCCTGTGGATATGTGTGTGATTTAATCATATAAGCGCTTTGTGTGCCGTGTTTGTGCCTGTGTGTGTGTTATCCATGTGTGTACTTCATAACCAAAAAAGCTTGAAGGCACAGGTCAGGCCCCTAAGGAGCTCCAGTTTGACTGCCCCAGAGAAAAGGGTGTCTGCACGTTTGCCAAGGTGGCGAAACTTAGGTAGAAGTGAAGGAGGCAGGTGTCTGGGGCAGGTGAGGGCTGAAGTTCTGGTGGTGTGGCTTCGGGTAACAGGAGGAGGAAGACTGCTTTGGACACGCTGGTCACCAGGCAGTCTTGCAACTCTGTGCTAATTGTTGTGGCCCAGAGAATCTGGAGTTGCACTGGTCTGTTCTCAGGAAGCCTGTGAGCCTGGTGGTTGTAGAGCCCAGCAAAGCTGAGCACAGGTGTCTGAGATCCTGACAGCACCAGGCTCCTGACAAGGCAGGACCTATGTGTCCATTGCCTCAGGGATTGGGGGAGAAGAAGGCAGCCAGAAGTTGGCTGCAGGGCCTGTAGCATCCTCTCCATGCGCTGTGGAGTGCTGACGGGCAGGTCTGTCTTTGGGTGACCTTGTGTTTGTATGGGCTCAGACAGCTCTGCTTCCTACCTCATAATTGATGGTGCTCCCTTGTAGGTATAAAGTGCAACTCAGACAACACTGTCTATGGCTTTCCGTTCATGTCTATCTGTCTTCTGCTTTAGGCTTCATCTCCTCTCAGCAGAAGGGTCCAGAGCAAGTTTAGGTCTCCCCTTACCATTCCCTATTTGGAGGTGCACAGATGAAGGACTAGTCCCCTACCACTCAGAGCCGCATGGGGAGTAGATGGAGACAAGAGGGAGCTCCAGCTATGGACTGATGTGTACAGGCCAGGCTGCCATCCACTCATCCATAGCCCGGCTACCTCGGTTGATCACGGCACTAACAGCAGGGGCAAGGGTGGGTCTGGTGGAGAAGGCATATCTGTCCAGGACTCCGGGACAGGGAACTTCCTCCTTTCAGCCTCAACTTTTCAGAAGCCAAGGATGGCTTCAGGCCTGCTGGCAGAGCTGACGAGGCCCATTCCAGGTGGGCTAAGCAGAGAGGGCAGACAGGCAGGCCAAGGCCCCAGTCATGAGCATTTGGGGAGGGGTCTGGGGCAGAAGATGGTGGAGGAGAGGGACCCTCTGGTACAGGAAGGGTAACCATCACTGTGCTCTGCAGGTCTGAAGAGTCACTAGACTCATGGCACAAGTAAGAAATACAGATATAACAAGACCCTGTGCCTTCTCAGACCACAAAAAGCAGGAAAGCCCCCCATGAACTTACATTCCCTACCCTTCCCCCCCACAGCCACACACATATACACACACACACACACAGCCACACATACACACAGCCACACTCCTTGCTGGCAACTCCCTGCAGGCAGAATTGTGTCTTCCACACATCTGCATCTAAAGCTAGGACTTGGTACATGGGCACGGAATTTAAAAAATTTTTGTGTGAGTGCTGGTACTGGGGCTTAAACTCAGAGGCTGAGCATGCTCCTGAGCTTTTTTGTCCAAACTACCACTCTACCACTTGAGTCACAGCTCTACTTCCAGACATTTGGTGGTTAATGGGAGATAAGGGTCTCACAGACTTTTCTGCCTGGGCTGGCTTTGAACTGAGATAGTCAGATCTCAACCTCCTGAGTAGCTAGGATTTTAAGAGTGACCCTCCAGCACCTGGCTCAGTACATGAATTTTATATGCTTGTGGCACACATATACATACAACATACCCACAACCTTCATGTATGCCATGTTCTTGTTCTCTCTTTGTTTCTGTGTCTGTCTATCTCTGCCTCTGTTTCTCTCTCTGTGTGCTCTATCTTTGTATGACCCTTGCCCCTGAGGAGACTAAGAAGTGGTCTCCTTTGTCCTATGGCTAACATGAACAAGAAAGTATCACAACATAGAACAAGACATCCCACTATGTTGAAAATGAACAACTTGCAGAAGGGATGGAAGGGAAAAACTGGGAAAGAGTGAAAGAAGGAATGACAGTGCCCCAAAAGAAATGTACTCATTACCTGACTTAGGAAATAGTAACCCCCTGTTCATCACTTTTATAATAACAATTAAAAAAACACAAGACATCCATATAGTCTTAGAAAATACAAGTGAATTTTAGGGTAAGCCAAATATTACTGAGTATGGATGCTTTTCTGGCACCTGTTGCTTCAATGATCTCCAAGTGTGAAATTCATGGTAACTCCCAGCAAAGCTTCTTGCTGAGTTTACGTGGTTACATTGAGTTCACAAGGGAGGTGGGTGGAAGGCCAGGGAGCTGGCCCAGTATTGGACAGTCACAGAGTCTTACATAACTTAGAGTTTCTGGTAAGGAGGGCCTATTTAATGTCTCTACTAGCAGATCATCACTGACACTTAAATCCCCAGTACAAGCTGGGCCCAGTGAGTCCTCTGTAAACCTGTGCCCCACAATGAGAGGGGTCTGACTGGTGGCTGGCCCTCCTTAGATCCAGAGAGGCGGCTCTCACACCTGGCTTGCCCTCCCACCTGCTTCTTTCACAGACTGATTTCTTGGCCTTTCTATATCAGGACCTACCTGTGCCTGTGTCTGGCATGAAGGTGACTTGCATGGTGGTCCACCTGTGAGAGGAGCCAGCCTCTTCCCTTGAAGCCCACTGGCTCACTGGAGAGGAACACCTAGTTGCTCACTGTCTCCCCTGGGATGCAGTGCCCTCTGGTGGTAAAGGGTACAGGAAGGCCATGTGCCCTACTTGTAAGGTAGACCCAACAACTTCCAATCCCAGGCCATTCCCTGAGTCCATTTTAGAGCAGTTCTTGCTTTTGGCTTCCCTTGGCCAAAGAGTCTTTGAATGAATCACTCTGGTCTAGCACCTAAAGCCCCCCCTCCCCAACTCCAGCACCTCTGATCTCTGCACAGGAGCAACACATGACAGTCCAAAATTGCACTGCTGAGAAAGAGATACACCACTATGAAGATAGACACTACACCAATGCAGTATATAAGGCCAGTCAAGCAATACCCAAAACCCTGGGGGGCCCAGAGGGCTTTTTATGATTATTTCTTCATTATCTTTCTAATTATTGGAGGCCTCTTGAGAACCTGCCCCATACCAGGCAGTGCTCCTCATTTCAGATGTCTTCAGCAGTGCTGTGGCCACCAACATGACAGCTAAGCTACATGGCTACGTGCTGAGGGCTCCATACCCTGCACACATACCAGGCTCTGATAGGTGAACTCCCACTCCTAAAGCTGAGCCCAAGGCAAAGTGCAACCGTTGTATGTGATTTCAGAAACGGACCCCTCGCCCACATCTGCATTGGAGGAAAGATCTAGTCTCCACTAGCAGTCTACTGTCTCCACGAGTGCAGTAGCCCTGTTTCTAACAAAGCAGAGGCTTTCCAGTGTCCCATGGCCAGGGGATTGAGAGGTTGATATGGCACCTGCTTGTGCTGAACATTTGGCTAGCAACCGTTGTGTTCTACCACCCCCTCCAAACTCAAAGAGCTGAGAAAACAAGAGAGGATGGTTAGTGGGTACAGAGCTGCTGCTGGACAGCAGGAGTCACTTCTAATGCTTTATACCACAGCAGGGTAACCACCATGGATGTCAATTAAGAACAGTTCAAAGTAGCTAGCAGGGAGGTCTTTGAATGTTCTCAACACAAAGAAATGGTAAATGTCTGAAGTGATGGGCATGCCAAGTACCTGCCATCTGATCTCTACATAGCATACACATTTTCTGAAATGTCACACACTGTAAATGTGCCCTATAAATACACACAATCATGCGTCAACTGAAAAGTATAAAAATACGTTAAAAAATTCTCTCTCAAAAATTCTTGCAAAAGGAGAATTTGGGATTGGAACCAGTTCTGCCCAGCTGAGATTTATCACTCATTTCTTTTGCTTAGATAGGAAATAGCAGAAAACAGTCACTGACACACAGTTGTCATAGCAA